AATCTGCCAGCGATCACAATGACATCCCCATCCCATATTCGGTGCTGAGGTATTGTCTGACCAAAGTAATTAACCACTCGGGGGAGCTCGGGGACTGGTGAACCAGATGGCCGAGCAATCATAAAGACAGCATCCAACACGGGTGATGGCATTTCAGCATTTAACAACTTCCATGCCTACCATCAAGCAATTGGCGCACCAGCGGGCATTAATCCTTTATGAAGGGGAGCGCGGCTGATTGCTATAGATATGCGGTGGCATAGCGACTGCATCCTATAAATAAGACAACTTCCTGTGCACGAATCACTCGTTTCTGTCACTGTCTCTGATGATGGGTTCAAGAGAGAATCCGAAACGCAAGTCAAATAAAGACACTATTTCGGCGATCGCCCCTACTTATTATCAACTAGTTCCTGGAACTGGCATTTTCTCTTGGCCGGCGCAGGATAAAGTCTGCATCTAATCCTGCCATCAACCCTCCCCCTCCCCCCGGACTCTCAATGTACGGCAATAGTCATGGACGCTTGCAATCTCTCCGCCGTCAGAATAGCGCCTGCAGTGAGGTCATCTGACCTCGTTTTGGTCAAGTCCAACTATGGTGTTATCCCTTATGGACTTGCACACCAGGCTACGAATAAGAGAGAATATCACATACGAGTAAAGATTACAAGTTATGAATAAACAACAAATCTAATAGATTCCGCACACGAAGTCTTCCATATTCTGTCTGAATGTAACACCTTGAAGACATTGTGCTTCGTAAATAATTTATCGGTAGGTACACTCGTGACATTGGGCGCCTTATTTCAGACAGGGATTCGATGTGAATAAGTGAAAATATAATGTATGGCGGTAGTCTTAGTAACTACAGTAATTTGAATAGCCTGGTGGTATCAAAATTCCTTTACTATCGGGCGTATCGGAAGGGAGCGAGCTTTGTCAGAGACGCAGCTGGGTCATTAAAAGTCGAAATACCTTTTAGACCATGCTGAACTGATGTGATACGTTTACTGCCATATAGTGAAATATATAACAATAATTTGTGTCTTTGTTTTAGTTCACATTTCCATTTCATTGGTTTTGGAGATCTGGCGACAAAAGTAACCGTGATAGAAGGAAGCGGAGATCGCGTTACGCGCGTTATGGAACTCATTCGTCACGTTGTGTCTTGGGGCTCTCTCTCGAGCCTCGCCAGCAGTGGCGCGTGATATAGGCAGACTGCCATTACCGAATGGGACAAGGAAGACTGGAATGGCTATCTCTGGCTTATTAGCCGTCGTCAGCTAGCTGTACCCAACCCCGAGGTGTGCAACACCTTGGACTTGGTCCCGCGGCCCGCTGGCCAGAAGTTCAACACCCTATCCACTGAGCCGAAGGCTCGTTGTCCCGTCAGTTACGATAGGGTCGCGTACCTCGGAAATGGGTGCGCCTGGCAGATGAGGCCTAGCAAGTCGGAAACGGCCATTCCAGTCTCCCTGGCCTCTACTGACAAGTATGTTCCAACACAAGTGACCATTATACGCAGTCTCAAGTTCATCTCATTGCGCAGATTATCCTCATTTTGTTTGGCCGGTCCCACAATCCACTGTCACTGAACCAATCAGCCGGCTGGAAATGCCACTGGCGTTTTGGTAGGATCGTAGTGAGGGATGATTGCCAAGGCATTTGCGTCACGTATGTCGCGAGTACATCGAGGGTAGGAGCTTGTCGCAGTCGGGTTACACGGCTGGGGTGAGGACGACGGACAGATGGCTAACTGCCTGCTCTTCTCTACAGAGACCGTAGGCGAAGTAGATTGTCATGCGCCGATGAACGCCTCTCAACTTGCCCATGACAGGCAGCGCTGATGTGAGATCTGGTCACGGTTGAGTGCGAGGAGCGGTCTTCCGTACCGCAGTTGCCTACTTAGAGTCAGGCTCTCTTTAACGGTCATGCTATTGGTGAAAATTCTCTGGCGATGTTCTGGGAAAGTGTCCGAAGCAGTTCCAAAAAAGTGAAACTTACCCAAAACTCCAGAAACTAAATCTTCTCAGTCTGCAGGATGCTACTTGTCAAAACATCTCATATGATTCACTGGGTGCGCTTGTGAATACCCCAGAAGCTGTAATCCAAACAATTACTGTTACTTTTAAAAAGATCATAAATGGAACATCATTGCATCTCTTTTGTGAGAAGATTATTTATACAGTCGTTTCGAATGTTACAAAGGGAGGCAATGGAAGTCTCTACATCCTTAATAATTCCGAAAGTTAAGAAACGTGTCGGTAACTCCGACATTGTGAGGAACAGTTCAAAACATCTTGGTTAGGGCTTAGGAATTCAAATCTTGAGAGGGCTTGGGGACAACGGATTTATTTGGACGAAAATGACCTCGGCGGGAAAGGTCATAAGAGTTCCCCTCTTATTATCTACATAAGGACATTTTAAATGCAAAAAAACCGATCTGTTCTTTAGAATTCTGGCATCTAATATATTTCTCTAGCCGGATAGTGATGAGCCAACTACCAGGGGTGAATAGTAGTCGAAAGAGCCCCATGATCCAACCAGATTCCATAGATGATCCTTGAAGAACCAAATAAGACTTTTTTGTTAGAGGGGGAGATTTACCAATACCTCTATGCTCAAAAAATGTATATGTATGGATGGATACTTAATCCTTTTTCAAATGATTCGATGAAATATTTCTTCCAGATGCGCATAGAAAAGCTAGATGACCTGGGCTTATGCGTCCAGACAACGCCTCCAGACTTTCCGCTGATGGATTCGCAAGACGTGGGGTCTGCGTTGAATGTGTTCCGTGGAAACAATCTCCAGCCCGAGGAATTATCTCTGCCCTAAAGAGAAGCTGCAAGCGCCTGCATTTCCGCTTTTTAAACCGCTAAATGTAGGACAGGAATGGTAGAAAGGGACTGACTAAACGCTGTGACAAGCCACTGCAGCAGTAGTATTTTCGAAGGCTATTCATCTCCTCGACACCATGCGGTATTCTTGGAGTCGATGGGATGATATCACACCTGCTGTAATTTCGAAGTATTTTGTAAAGTTTAAACTAACAACCGACATTTTTGACCCAGCTGAAGGGGATACAGGCATTTATTTTTTCATATAAACTCTCAGGAGGGTGTTGGGAATCTAGCCAGAATAATTATGTAATATATAGAAGGTACAGTATTTACTGGGGTACTCAGGTCCCGGCATCAAATTCAACAGCAAAAGGCTATTGTGTGGTTCAGGCATAATGAGTACCTCATGTGAGATGGGCGGCAGTGCGGATCTGGCCGTCGCGAGCGATGACATCAGCGGTGTGCCCAACGGAGTGGGCGCAGTACCTGCGTCTTCTGTGTGAATTACTTTGCAGCGAGGCAGGCTTGCTCAGCACCTATCGCGCACTCTAGTTCCTGGCTCTGATGGCCATACAATGTCAAGATCGACGGAGCTGGGTCCGAGTGCAATAGCGAACAAAGTTAGACGACCTCTCTACGCGTGCCACGCACGACCTGGTCCTCGCACAGTATCCCAAAAATAGGGGGCGGCTCAGAAATCGCGTTGGTAGTAATGCCTCTGAAGATACATTGTAAGGAGGCCACCAGGGCCATTGTAGTTAACTACGAATTTGACGTCAACCTTGGCCATCCCTATAATGGGAACCGTTAACCCTCGACTCCTGAGCATCTAGAGAAAACTCTAACTTAATGGTACCCTCAGCCGTAGAGTCCCAACCTTGGTCGCAGCCTCAAATTAAACCATAAGCCAAGCCTGGTAACAGTAAACCTAAGTATAACTCAACTTACAGCACAAGCCCGAACCGTATCCCAAACTTTATCCTTGGGTCCGACATACGCAACTTTAACGGCAATAAGCCAATAAAGGTCAAAATCAACGCATTGCAGAATACGATTCACGACCTAATTTCGAGAAAACCGTTCTGAACCACAACTACCTAGATGAGATCAGAAGGCAGATGTTTTAACAACCACCTAGCGGGCTTACATATCCTACCCTCGCCCAGGAAACATTGGACATGACTCCCAGGCCTCAAGTCAGTCACCATGCACACACGATAGTTCGACCGTCGATTTTGACGTTGTCCGCCGTGTGCTCCAGTGAAAGGTGTAGCAAATACGATGACTTGCACGTGAATTAGGTTATAGTGATAGTAGACTTGCGCAGCATCTACCTCGCTCTCTCCCTCCCACCTGAGCCCTGGGTCAAGACAATTTAGAAAACCGGAGACGAGGGAACCGCAGGTGGATGCATGGTTGAGCCCGCACCTTCGCGTTCCACTCCTCACCCCTTGGTCCACACAACAAATAACCAGGTTTTTGATCGAAAACAACGAAAAAATGGAAGCTGGCACGACCGAAGCCGCACCTAGGCGTGCCGCCAACGTCCGGCTCAAATCCCACAGAGTGGGAGTGCCATAAAGGCCACATTAAAAGGGGGCCATTACATCATGACTCTTAGATCACAAACTGGCCACTCCGCAACTGCAGCACACACAACACTGGGCTGATTGCAAGGTCCAAGTTATCCTGCCAGTAGGCAACCTTCCAAACGACGGCTTTTATCGCACCGTAATAGCTTCAAGCGCGTCAGATTGTTTATAGTAAGGAGGAAGATGCGCTGAGTCGTCAACCGCACTCTCCTTTCCCATTCCCACACCTCAGCCCCTGTCCGAGCCGGTCAGTTGACTGAAGCTGGGAATGGGCGCGATGACTGACATGGTTTGGTGACCTTGTCTGCGCGCGCCACATGCACGACCTGGCCCCCCAAACACAACCACCGGCATTTCACACAAAGGGGGGTTGGTCGGCCTACATCCCCCATGCGTGAGAATTCCGTAGGTCACGTTGGGAAGGAGCCGTTTCAGCCCAACCCACCAGTCCTCCTTTCCACACAAACACACAGCACTGGACGGACTGCGTGGACCGAGTTGGGGCGTCAATCAACAGCCTTCCTATCCACGGCGCTTGACGCGTCGGGATAGTCTCAGGCTTGAGTCACCCATTCAACAGGAGCCGCACAGAGACCAACTCGAGATGCACAATTCCCACTGGCGTGGGAGGGGGCAGTAGGGTGCTTACGCTGGGTGATGTCGATGTGTGATGAGATGGTGGTGAGGGAGGGAGGGAGGGGTGATAGTGTGGTGCAGCCGGCGGTTGGCTATCGCAGGATTTCGTAGACGCGCATGTGGCCGAATAGATCCATGCGATGCGTGGAAGTGCGAGGGCAGTGTGGACAGTGGAGGTAGGTGCGTTGGGTGTAGGTTGGGACTCCAGGCACTGGTTCCGCAGTCTCTTTGCGATGGATTCGCAAGTGACCGACCAGGCCGATGCGTGAGGTGAATGTGCGGCGACAATGTGGGCATGAAAGGTCGGTGGTGTCGGGTCGGTTATGGAGGTGGTGGTGGCTTTGGGCGCACAAGGCGACGGAATGGGGGTGGGGCTGTGCGTTGTGGGGGTGTTGGATGTTGTGGATGTGTCGGTACTGCGGTCAATTCCGCTCTCGTGGATGCGCATGTGGACGAACAGGCCCATGCGATGCGTGAAAGTGCGAGTGTAATGTGGACAGTGGAAGCGGACGCGACGAGTGTAGGTTGGTGCTCCAGGCACTGGTTCGCCAGTCTCTGTGCGACGGGTCCGCAAGTGACCGACCAGGCCGATGAGTGAGGTGAAGATGCGGTCGCAATGAGGAGAGGTGTGGACCTAGTGCACATCAGTGGTGATGGTGGTGATGAGGTTGATGTTTATCGGCGTGTCTTGATATTTGTGTAGCGGTGGTGAGTACAGGGGGCGCCGCAGCGGATGTTGAGGTGATTGAGGAGGGGGATGGTAGTGGGATTTCGGGAGTACGGTCAGTTTTGACTGTCGACGTGGGGGACAAGACAGAGATGGACGGGGAGACATCGGATGGTGTCGTCCGGGTATTGTAGGTGGTTCGACGATGTCCCACAAGACCGATTGATAGTCGGACCGTCCGTTGAGAGCGTTGGCAGACCTTGAGCTGTTGAGTTCGCAGTTGAGACCTGCGAGCATCGCGTTTGGCTTTGGCGTCAGTGGTGCGCTTTGCTTCGTAGATTGTTGCGCCTGTCTTTACTGCCCTCTGCCAAGTCGGTCCCTAGTGGGCGAGGTTTTCCTAGATTGCCCGGTCGACCTACAAATGTTTCAGGAAAGTCTTCAAGGTGTCTTAATAGCGCCGGACTTGGCCTCCTTGTCGGTGGAAACCCCTGGCGACATCTCCGTAGGAGGGTCGTTTGGGTTATCACTTGTCGTCTATTCGCACGAGGTGGCTGCTGTCTCAGCATGGCGTAGATGCTGAGGATTCTCGTCCGTGTCCGGGATCCGATCGTGTTACCTTAATCTCGCCATCCGTCGAAAACAGCTGAGGCGGAAATGGTTGAGTCTTTGCACCCGCTTTTTGTACACCATCCAGGTCTCCGCTCCATACAGTAGCGATAGCAGAATGACTGCCTTGTATATCTTCAGTTTGATGTCGAGCTGGAGACCGTGTCGATTCCAGACTGTGTTTTGCAAGCGGCTGAATGCTTGGCTGGCCTTGAAGATCCGACGGGTCACTTCATCGTCGATTTTCGCACCACCCAGGTAGGTGAAGTTGAAGGCGTCTTACAGCTAGCTTCCATTCACGTTGATATGGGGTGGGTTGTAAGCAGTGTTGGCTGCCGGTTAGTGCATAACACACGACAGTTCAACCATAGAGTTCGACGACGTGCACCATGTGCCACACAACAAGATCCAGCAGGCACAGTGAATTGCGTGTGAATTAGTTTTAAGTGAGTTTAGACTTGCGCAGCATATACCGCACTCTCTCTTACCTACCCCGCACCTAGACCCGGTATCAAGGCAGAGTCAAGAAGACCGGAGGGGGGGGGAAGGGCGCACGATCTAACCAGCACCTTGGCGTTTTACACGACAAATAACCAGGATTTTTACGCCCGCCAAAATGGGAGCGGCAAGTGTTTCAACCTGCGCGACCACTGTCAGCAACTAGGTCTGCCACCGCACCCCCAAATGTTGGCATTTGCTATATTGCGGAGATCCGATAACGCCTGCCAGAATTCGATATGACCCTCGTGCTGGTCTATCGCATTTACCACGTGGGCCGTTTTGAGGGCAAAAACGCACCGGACGGGCCCCGAAAACTGGGTTACTTAGTCGGCTGGCAGCCCTCTAATCCTGATTTTAACACGTCGTGGTTGAATCAAACACTTCAGATATGTCATAGTGAGGAAGGTGCTGGTGTATCTTAAAGATGGATTAGCCAGTGTCTGCAAAAGACAGCACCCTTGCGTTTCTGAAATTCCATGTGTTTAAGTCGCACAACAATAATACTACAGTCTAAATCAATGCATGCCTAACTGGATTTAGGTTAACATTTCACCAGACGGGTCACTGATTGTACAATTAATTTAGGACAAACTTACCAATGTTCACATTTACTGTGCAGTTGAATGCACTGTTCGTTAGGTGCCTATCAGTGTGAAAAGAACACGCCTCTCATGCCGTTTCTCTATGGCAGTGTAAGAGCTCGCCACCTTAATCCACCCCTGGATGGAATTCCGCCTCCGCGCCCAACGAAGAGATAAAATCCAGAACAACGATTTACAAGACTCAGTGAGAATCTGAGTTTAAAAATACGTCATTTGCAAGGTAGCATTTCCGCTTACTTTTTTGACTCTGTCTGGAACGGTCCGATTTTTTCTTGCTAACGCAGTGCCCCTTCATGAGAAGTTTAACTTTCTAATATCCTTGCAGCAAGCTGACGCGGGTTGAATTTTGCCAGGAGATAGTTCCAATCTGAAGGGATCTAATGGGCTGGAAAAGCCTCGTCAAAAGATCTTTATGTGATGGCATAGAGCACGAAAGGAAACATTGTTTCAAACCGGTCCCTAGAGGCAAACAAAGGCGTATGCTACCTATGCCTTGCCTTGGATTTTTTGGGGTTTGACTGCAGGCAAATTACCTTTCAAATGTAAGTACCTTAGGTTGTGCCACACTTATAAAATGCGCTTTTCTCTAGAGAATTCTGCGCACTACAGCAGCTGGACTATCTCATGAGATGCTAACGGCAATTCCAAAATATGTCCTTTATTGGTGAGAATTACATGGGCGGGACCGTAACATTTATAATTATGCCGTTAAATATCAGTTGGGCCAAATTTTCAGCTTTTAAATTTGCCTTTATTTAGCCGCACACAGAAACCACACTCGGTAACAATTACTACATAAATAGTGTGGTTTTCTTCCTATCGATTTTCTATGTCCAGAAGATGAAGATGCGATCACTGGGACAAGAAGTTT